AAATAAATATAGTTCCAAGTACAGAAGATTATTTCTGGTATGTTTATTCTCTACTGCTATGGTGCAAGTATATCAGCAGAATCATTACACATGATAGAAAACAAACCTTGTTGATCCAAGCCAGAACACCTTTGATTACGTATTAGTCAAGTCTGAGAGTTCTGAGCTAGTCCGCAAATGGAAAACCTTTATGATTCAGTACTTTTCTTGTGACATTGCTGTCTACAATTTTTGTGATTAGCACTCCTTCTCTTTTAACGTTTTCAATACAGTACATTACTATCGGAATAAGATCCATTCCTGCACGCTCTTTACTGCCTATTTTCTTTCTTTATCCTCAAAAGAGGGGTTGTTTACCTTTGCTCATTTAGTGAAATTACTCATTTTTACAATAATCTATCATTAGTATTGATCTCCCTTCTGCTTCTGTGGGGATGAGGTGGAATAAAGACAGCTAACTTGTATTAATGAGACTGCCTGAACACTAAGGGATAAATCTTTTCCCCAGGTCAGCAGACCATTACCAGGAACAGTCATTCCAGTGTAATTAAAATTATGTTGTTATTTCTTTTTTTCTTTTTAAATCATAAAACGTGGCCAGAAGGTTCTCGCGGAAATCAGCACCACGCAATTTACTGCAAGGAACAGGCTTTGTTCCAATAACCTTAGTGTACACCTGCATGTGTGCACAATTTCCACAAAGCAGAAATACATTTTCTTTGGTAGAACTGGGACTGATCAAGTCCACTCCATCCACTGCAGTAATGTTACGATCCCGAGCACGCAAGATCTCTCTGCTGATAGCCTGAGCTATGTTTTTGTTGTACAGTCTGGACGTGGACCACTGCAGCCACGACCACTGCCAGTTTTGCTGGCAGCTCCGATCTGTCCTGTTCAATACTTCAGTTAGCCCTAAAGTTGCTACCCTGAGCTTTGTTCAGTGTTAAGCATCATACTTAACTGTCAGACTACATGCCAGATGGAGGAAAGCAGAACTGCTGTGTCCTTTTGATTCTCTTAGAGTTTCTTGAGCCCTTGTTTTGGACTGTAGCACCTGCCCACCACATTGATGTGCACATGGAGGGACTGTATTCTTAAGGAAGCAGTAGGTGCAGCAGGAACTGCAATGTTCATTAGCATTTTTGGGGTACCATCTATCTAAACCTCCAAGAGAACAAATAGATGATTGTGGCATTCCTCCCCTTTATACCCATTGGCTGAGAGTACCAGAAGGTGTTTGCACAGTCTAATACACCGTTTTTACATAGGGAGAGAAAAAATAATTGTGCACGTGTCAAATCTGTACCTAAATTGATATCCGTGCTGGCACAAAAAGTCTTGAAGTATCATCACTGTCAGGCATGTAACACTGCTTTCTCATAGGGGTCATGAATAACTAACTGTAGCTGGTTCCAGATTCTCACACTGAGAATCTAGCCCTAGATAATTTGCTCCATCCCAGGCTACCATCTTTACCCTACAGAGTCCATTCACCCCTGCTGCTTATTTTTCAAACCATTTGATTTGGCTTCATGCGAGGAGAAAGGTGAACATGAAATTTCTTCACTATAGAATACAAAAAAGAACTAGTTCAGAAATACATTCCCGCCATCCCTACCATCACATGGAAACTGCACAACAAACTGCCATAACACAGCAGATGTGAAGACTGTGGAAAAAATAACGCTCAGACTCTACGAAGAATTTGGCAGCAAGTGGGGACGGAAGGAGGGATACAACCATTCCTGGCGTTTATCGCCTTATTAGGGAGCACAAGGCATATGCACGCATAGTCTTTTGGACATAAGTATTTAACACAAAACCCCTCATACCCCCCCATCAGGAGGATACACAGTGACAGACTCTCGGAAGAAACAGATTCTCATGGACCGTTCTACCATTAGACTATTAGATTGTTCAAGGATGTGTTTTCTTGATCCTAAACAGGAGCCTTGACACCAAAAACATGAGAGAATTGCCACCCACCAGCTCCTGCACACCTCAGCTATGGTTTAGTAAGTAGGACTTCTGCGGCTGCTAGAGGCTAGAAAAGTGTAGTACCTTGTCCCCTTGACATCAGTGGAGATGCATGTAGGCAAAAGAAAAACAGAACTGAGATCCAAACAAGGCCCAAAGGAAGGCAAGGTGCTGTACATGCATTCTGACACAGAAATGCTCCATATGCCCTCCCTGACCCCAGCCACATGGCATGAACCAGAAATTAGGGCAACGGCATCTCCTGACTCTTGTAGGAAAGTCTTGAGTTAATTTTCTTTACCTAGGGCTCTCTGTCATAGCAGATGTGGCAGACGAGTGACAGCAAACAGTGGACAACGGTTATCATCAGCAGAGGAAAGGAGTTTTGGACAAGGATATATGAGCTTTTATCTTTATCTTTTACAGACAAAAGAAGGCAGTAAGGAAATCCCCAAGAGCCAAGCCAAATCAGAAAGTCTACATAGAACAGCATCATACAGACTTGTTGGCTTCAGGTCAGAAGCAATATATAGCCAGAACCCCTTCAAATGTGTGTAAATGCACACATTCATCTAGGAGGAAATTCTGGAAAGAAACGCCAGGTGATCTTGGATGATAAAGAATAGGTAGGGCTTTCCTCCTTAGGTCATCTCTGAAACCCCTATTTGTCATAACTCCACAGGTCCAGATGAGACTCCCGAGCCAGTATTTTGGAAAGAAAAGAAAAAGAAAAGAAAAGAAAGATTAGCATTTGCATTTTATGTGAAATTTCAAAGACAGTCATCAAAAAAACACTATTACAAAGAGAAAAGGAAGGATTAGATTTTGATCAATGACCTCAGAATGCCAAAACACGCAGGAATACCTCCCTTTACTCAAACCTCTCACTGCTGGGCTCCCTGTTCTTCAAACTGCAAAGTAAGCCACAAACAACGGCTTAGGGAGAAGGGAGAAACTAGATAATGTTTGAGCTGATATCTTAAATAATGCATGAAAATATGGGACCATTCTGAGAGATTCACATGAAAGGAGTCAGAGGTACTACTGTGACCGAAAAATGAGGAGTTAACAATACAGGTTACATAGGTATTCCACATGATAAAACCCAGCTGCTCCTGGAGAAGGCACACTGGTTTTCTCCTCTGTACCCAAGGCAAGCAGTTGGAAAACTTGCACTGAAGAAGCAGTGGATCAATAAAATCCATGTTATGATACTTTAACTCTTTCTTCAACATAATTATGCTAACCCTGTGTTTGCGTCCAGCTGTTTCATCGTTCTATTCTTAAGCATCCTAGGCCTAGGAACTGAGGCTATTTTTGGAAGGAAAATAGATGAGTGAATCCACATGCCAATTCATTTTCTCTCTCTCTCTCATTAATTCTTGGCTGCATGCTGCTTTATATATTCCAGTCTACATGGAATTCAATTAGTTTCTACTAACAGACATTTCTAAATAATTTGTTCCAATGGTATTTTATAAACTGCATTGCTGGCCATATCCACTTGTAATCCCTCAAAACTAAATGATTGTTTATCCTTTCAGCATCGTCATTAGGGGTTATGTTCAAAGAGACTCCAGCACCACCAAACTGAACATCGCAACACTCAGTTTTTAGGCTCTTCTCTCAGAAAGGAGACCCCTCTGTTTGACCTCGCTGATGACTTTAGCACATGGAGAGATGAAGGCACCTCGAAATGCCAGCTGCTGAGCAGGGAACCATGCAAATAAGGCTCATCTCAGTCCAGTTTTCAATGCTGCAGTTCAAGAGAGATTTGGACCAAGCAGAAGTAATGGAAACAATCCTAAGTCTAGCAAATATGATATGTGAAAAAGGATGCAATAAGCAGGGTTCCTTAATCTAGTGGAAACGGGCACTAAGGGGAAGAACTTTCAGTACTAGTACGTATTAAGAAGCTGCAAAGAGAGAGGTAACAAAACACTTTTCACATCTAAGGAGAACTTGAGTCCTCAGTAACAGACATGAGATACAGCAAAGGAGATCACGAAAAACATTACAGATGGCAAAACACTAACTGCTTGGAAGAGCCAGGGAATCTCCATCAGTGGGGAGTTTCAGGTCAGACAAACATCTGTCAGGAATAGCTTAGGCATAGTTTTTAAGGTTGAGGTCAGCAAGATCAACTGAACATGTTCTTGTTGAGATCCCAACAAGACCATGTCCTCTTGAGATCCCTTTCCACCATACTTTCTAGAATTTCTTAGCCAAGAAGCAGTCACAGGAGGCCTTTGCTATTCATAAGCCAACAGACTTCATTTTAGTCTTTTAAGTGTATTATTCCAACACAGA